ACTTAGGTGGAGTGTGTCTGTGGTACTATGCGATAAACGAGTACCCACCAGACTAAAAGGAAAGTTCTATAAACCGAATATTAGACCAGCAATATTGTATGGGACAGAATGTTAAGCAATTAAGAAAAAATATACAGATAAGACAAGTGTTGCTGAGATGAGGATGCTAAAGTGGATGTGTGGCAAGACTAGAAAAGACAATCAGCAATGAGTATATTCGTGAATAAATAAGAATAGTACCGATAAAAGACAATTTAAGAAATAATAGATTAAGATAGTTTGATCATATACAACAAAGACCAATAAAGACAGTAGTGAAGAGGTGCAATACAGTGACGGTAGATGGAAGTGTTAGGGAAAGGGATGGACCTAGATTGGCGTGGACTAGTGTAATAAATAGAGATATGAATTTCCTTAATTTGACTAACCAAATAGCCATTGATAGAGTTGAGTGGAGAAGAAAAATTCATGTAACTGACCCCATTTGATGGGATTTAAGACTTGATTTGGTTTAGTTTAGTTTGGCTAATAATTTGTATTTTTTTATTTTTTTCAACTTCTAGTGTTGCTTGGTTATATAAACTACTTGGGATTGTATTCAAACTTATGATTGACTTGTTTATGATGTACATTTTCAATTTATTAGTTTATACTTTTATAATTACTTTTAGATTGAAATTATGAAATTTTAGTGAATAGACATTACTATATTTGAAGGTGAATTTGAATAGTTAACTTCTATAATTTTTTAAAGCATGATTTCCAAAGTGTAGCCTATGTTATTCAACACAATGCACATATCATTACTTTTGCATTGTCTTTTATGACCATTTTGAGGTAAGATCAGAAAGATATAGAATAAAACATCACCAAGCAACATACATTGCATGTTTTAAATTAAATAAATTTATAAATGACTAAATGACTTCCATACTAAGTTAGCCAACTAGGAGATTACCCAGGTACCTGGGCTATTATTACTGAGGGTTACCATAGCATTTTGGCAACTATGATTTGACCCGCTACACAATTGTCAAACAAAAATAATAATCTACAACATCATTCCTCTAAAAGTAAAAAACATAACCCACTTCATTGTCACTCGTCAGGTGGTTGTTTAATAGTGGCCACTTTTGCTTATTTATAAAGTTAGAATATATTACACAGCAAAAATTAGGAGGAAAAAAAAAACAGTTACAATATAGGGTTTCAACCTTGTGCGCACATTTTGGTGTTTGAAAGTTTCAACCAATAAAACCCAAAGGCTAAAGTTGTTTCTATTTTATCAAACCTACCCATGCAAGTAACTTTAACATATATGGTAGGGTGTTTATGTAAACATTTGAACAAGTAGCATTCAACCTAAGGCTTGTCTAATATATTATGCTCAACCCAAAGTTGACTTTGCACCTTTTTGCAAAAGCCCGAAACCAGCTGAACCATAACTTCTAGTTAACAAACTTGAGCTTCCTCATTCTTCGTTATATTCAGCTTGTACGCAACCACAAGCCCTTTTTTTAAAAGATGTTTTCCTATGCAAAACTGTTCATATCATAGTATAGTTAACCTTATAGTTGCCTTGTGAAACCATACCTTTAACTGGCTCCATGTTTTAACATACTCAAAAATTTAAGGGATGTTCGGTTGTGTTTTCATTCATCATTTTTGTTTTACATGTTTTCATAAACAAAAGCAATGAAAACTTCAAAATCACCCATCATTTTCATATTGTTTTCATTTTTGTGCGAAAAATATTTTCAAAATTTTGAAATACAACTTTTGTTGTTTCCTAAAAGTAAGTAGTTTTTTAATAAAAGAATCCCAAAAATAGTGTTCAAAAATAAAAATACAATCAGGTTCTTAGAATCCTTTTTATTTCATCCTGTGTGTTCTAATTATATAAGCAACATCTTCCCTAATCTCCATTCCTTACAGTCTGTGTGTTTGGTCGGTCGCCTTTGGGTATTTCTTATCCATCAAGCTTCAAAGGACCTTATTTCCACTTCTTGTTTAACAATTTTTTTTTTTGCTTTTTTTCGATAAATAACAAATATTTTTTGTTATATAGTCAAGTGCTATACAACAAATATAGCACTCGACTATGAAGCACCGACACTTAAAAACAAGTGCCGTATCTGTGTCGAACACATGGACACGGCAGGGACACGTGGACAAAGTACGGGACACACCACATGGAGTGTCCCCTTATTTAATTAATTTATTTTCAAGGAATGCACCTGAGACACTTTAGGGACACACAAGGGACATGCCTAGTTGTCTTTTCCCCCGTTTTCTTTAGTTTTTGATGAATGTTGAATGTTTATTATTTTTTACTTAGATTTAAATACATAATAAACCATCCATAAAAAAAATATAAATTATAAGTGTTAATTAAAAAGTAATTTTTTAAAAATATATATAAAATTGAAGTCAATTTTTGTTAATATTGATTGTTTGTGAATGTAATATCAATTTAGCAAATAAACAAAAATATATGAATACATATTTTATTGTCATGTCCAAGCCGTGTCCATGTCCCCATTTTTTTTAAATCACTGTGTCCCGTGTCCAAATTTATGTCTGTATCCATGTCCGCATCCATATCCATGTTCATGATTCTTAGGCACTCGATATCTTTTGTTTAGTAGCAATCTATGAAACACATGTACTGGTACAGGTACGCCGATGCAGTGAAACCTAAAAAAAATAAGATATAGGTACGGCTAAGGTACGACAATAAATTTTTTATTTTTTATATTTTATAGTTTGAGATTCAACCTATTAATCGAAGTTCAATACCAAAACTTAAAAGAGAAATTACAAAACCAAAAGAAAAATCATTGTTCAACAATAACAATACCAAAACAAAGTCCATGAGTTATTTTAATGTCATTAAATAGGAGAAATTATAAAACAAAGTTTCATTCCAAAGCAAGTTAAGCAAAATTTGAAAACTTGAAATTTCAATTTTCACTTCCATCAACTTTATCATTGAATAATACATCTTTCATCTTTGGCACATCAAGTAAAGGATTTGCAATTTCAAGTAAATCAGAATACTTTAATAAATTAAATATATCTTCACTGATGCCCCATAGCTTGGTGTACCCTTAATGTACCCATCTCGTACCCACAGTTAGATGTACCCCATTTGAAGTGGTGTATGGTCACACCCACCTAATCTTCAGGATTATATAACCATAACATCCAATGTGGCTATTGTTGAGCAAGAACTATTGCATAGATAAGCAATTATCAAAGATTAAGAGAGAGAATCAAGGAGACCCAAGAAAGAATGAAACATATCTATGATTCCAAGATATAGAGGCGGAGCTACAAATAAGTGATTGGTGTAATTAAAGGCGCAACCATATAGGTGTATGCATTGTTGTCAAATCATGAAATCATGATTTGAAGGTGCAACTGTATAGGTGTAATTAAAGGTGCAACCGTATAGGTGTATGCATTGTTGTCAAATCATGAATCGTAAGATTCACTTTTTTTAATATAACATATAATTTTATACATGTACATACATATAAAAATAGACACATAGGGTATAAAATAAAACAAAATAAATATCAATATAATTAAATTGTATATACATATAAACAAATAAAATCACATATATCAATATAACTTATTGATATTTCTTGATAGAGAAGCAAAAACATCGTTTCATGTATTATGCAAACAAAAATAACATAACTAAATCATAGTAAATAATAGTGAATCATAATGAATCGTAGTGAATCACAAATTAAATTGCATGATTCACTCAATTTTCGATTCAACATGATTCAAATCGTATGGTTGAACCTCATTAAATTGTATCAATCGAATCATGAACTGCAATATTCTAATCTTAGGTGTATGTTTGTGTCCATACAAAAAAAATGAAAACACTCTCCTAAGTATTATGGCACGTTTATCGTTATGCCCAGTGATTCCACATTTGCTCGATTTTACATGCGTCTCTATTCATGCAAATCTTAACTAATCTCACCATTCAATCTAAACTACCACTAGTAAGCAAAGAAGATAAGAATCAACTCCAAGTTCACAAGCCATTTTTTATCATCAAGGCAAAGGCGAAGGTAAAGGCAAAGGCAAGAGGTTTTAATCCACTAGCAAGGGGACTCACCAATCGAAGCAACATTGGAGGATCTTGATTTTATTAATAATCAATTAGCATAATTTGTCCTTGAAGACTAGAGCACTATCCAAGGGAGCAGATTTACAAACTGTTCAGTTGTATTGTCATGTAGGTCCATTACGAATAAATTAAAGAACTAATAATAAGGTTACTTTCCACTGGGTTTTCCATTTTCAATTATGGCATAAAACATTGAAATAGTGTTCATTTAATAAACGGAATGAATAAAGAAAGATCAAGGGATCACTGCAAAATATGAAAAAATGTCCAAACTAGAGGTCCTCACGAAGGATCATACTCAATCACAAGCACTTCCAAGAAACAACAAAACCACTAGGTCCCTAAGCAATAGATATTGCTTTATTTTCAAGAAACTAAAAAGAGAAACGTTCTAACACTCCAAAAAATGTAGTAGAAAGCTAGATGCTTTAACAGCCAGACTCAGACTTCGGCCCAATTACAGCTTGAGCCTTTATAACCAGTAAAGAGCAGCTAAGGTAGATTGATGGGTTAGCCTGATCTTGTGTCTACGTCACATATGCACCTCACATATTCCTTTCTTTTAACTTCCATGATGTCTTCTTTTATATTCTATCAATGATTATCCATATCCCAATCCTGTAATTGTCTTGACCTGTTGGCCATATATCAAAGTTTACATACTATCTTTTCTCCAATTAATTCACCTTCCAAAACATTTTGAGGCTATTGTTTGGATACATGTCACAATAGTAGCACAAATAGAGCACAAAATGTAGATCCAAGAAGATGAATGAAAGGAAGTAGAAATCAACCTATTCCATGACCACAAAGCATTAGTACCAACTACCATATTAACACATACCTTAACATTATTAAGTACTTCAAATAACTTTTTGGGATCTGAACACCCATCCTGAAAGTATCTTGCAATAGCAATATTGTGAAGAACCTGAAAATACATCACACAGTCTGCAACTTTAAATAACATACAAGACGCAAACAAACAATTATAACAAATTAATTTGACAATCGAGCAAAAAACACATAACTTCCAACTTTGTAGTAAGTAAAGCAACAATCAATGGACAATCCTTTTAGACAAGGTTTGAATCAAAATCTCTACATTAAGATTGCTAATAACATCAGAAAATACCCTAAAAGTTCTGAAACTACTCCTATTTCATTAAATAGAAGTAATAAAAAGAAAAATAATAAGAAAAGTAAAAAGAACACTAGGATAAAGAGGGGGGGGGCGGGACGACAAAGCTACTAGTTTTACACTCGCATCGCATCGCATCGCATCGCGTCGCGTCTTCCCAAGTGAATTTGGTAGAATTAGATTAGTAATATGTTCAAAATTACAAGACTTGCAGGGTGAAGCACTAGGTTTCTCAGACAGACCCCCTTCCAGGCACAAGTTACAATATCAATATGGTATCCCACAATCCTTGGTACAGTACAAGGAAACTTATAAAAATCCAAGTAAATAATCAATCTTAATTGCCTAATTAAAGATGTCATTTTGCTTGCAAAGACTATTGCGGCATAAAATCGAATGCAGGACATTGATAGCACATCAGAGGTAATTTGTCAGGACTCGAAATTGTATACAGAATAACTACTGAGAATTACTAAAATTTAAAACAACTAAGCAGAATGATACATTCATTTCTTAATTTCATCGTTTGACGTAGAATGCATTTTCCCACAACATGAGGATCAACTCCACTACCCATTTCAAAAACAAAAAACAAGAAAAATGAAAATAAAAAAAATACAAACACTTGAGATTCATATACTGTAGTTGATATATGTATGGAAAAGATTTAAAAAATAAAAAAGTAACCTTGGGATCGTCTCCTTTGTTCTGCAAGAGCTGATTCAATATATCCACGCATTCCGAAAACTTCCCCGAATGGAAGGCCAAACTGGCGAGCCCCGCGGTGGCAGACAGAACGGTCTCGTCCTCCGCAGACGGCGACGACGAAGAAGAAGAATCCTTGGAATCCATTCCCAGATCGACTAATCGACAACGCTCTATATTCAAATCCCAAAACCCTAACTTTCACCGATCACACCCTAAAGTCTCTCTATCGCTCATTTAGATACACCAATTCGAATAGATTGCCGTCCCGAAACCCTAAGGTCCCGACCTGAATAAGAACACCACCTGCGAGAGACTGTTTTCCAAATGGGCGAGAGAGAGAGAGAGAGAAGGGAGAGAGGGAGAGTTGGATGATTTGGATGAAAGATATTAACCAAATATATTTTTAAAATATAATTTAAAATTATTTTTAAAACCTTTTTTTTCTTTTATTATTATTATTCAAATAATTAATCATTTTTTTTCTCCTTTTACATTCATTCACTTTCTGTATATTAATTAATCTTATATCTACTCTCTCCTTTAACATTCTTTCACTTTCTATATATTAATTAATTAAAAAATAAAAAAATTACAAATCATCTCAAAATTATCTTCAAAATTCATAATTAAATAAATTTTCTATTTTTAAATTATAATTTAAAATTTAAAATTCAAAATATAACTTTACATTCAAATTATAATTTTAAAATTAAACAAAATAGACTTCTATTTAGGAGGACTCACTTTGCTTTGAGCCCTTGGAGGGATGGAGTCTGATTCGAAGCTGGCGCGCTACTTACTGGGAGTGTTTGGTAGGAGTTTTTTTGGCTAAAATATTTATTATAGACAAAAAAAAAATTAAAATAGTTAATAAGATAAAACAACACATCTTGCGCATTAATTAATCATTTTTTCTCTCACAACTATATATTCAATTACAAAAGGGAAAAAAAATTCACAAATTATTTCAAATACAATTTTTTTATCTCATAAAATAACTAAAAAAATTAATTAAAATAACCAAATTCCTAAATGAGTCCACTGTATATCTGGTTTTACCCATACTCAAATAGTAGTTGGTTTGCAAAGGAGCCTACTCTGATATTATGTTCTCTCTCATTTCACATGGTTCAAATTGAGTTTTAAAAATTATATTAAAAAAAAATTTAGGATACTCCTGCATTTTTTACATATTTTGTGAGAATTATATTGGAAAACTTTTAGGTGGGTTCATGTCATTCATTATCCCGGCGAATTGAACAATTTTTTCACAAAAATATATATATAATTTTTAAAAGTTTATTTCACTTTCTATTTCTAATTAAATTATTTACTTAATTTTTAAACTATCGATTGAATCTACTACTAAGTTATTAAAATATATAAATCAAAATTTATTCAATTTCTAAACTATTGATTGAATTGATTAAATTATTAAAATATTTTAATTCAAATTTACTTAATCCATGAAATGATTATAAAAATAAAATATAAATTCTTAAGTATTATAAATTAATAAAAAATGCTACATAATCTAATTTTATTTTTAAAAAATATTAAATTTTTATTTTATTTTTGAAAAGTTGGCATCAATTATTGTGGTGAATTTTTTATAAGGATAAGAGTAAATATATAGTATTTTTTTATTTATTTTCTACAATGGCTACTTGTTTGTTTTATCTTATATGCGCCGGATTTCATTTATAATTTCTAATTAATTGTCTTTAAATTTTTGGTTAAATTCTTTTTATAACTTAACTAATGTATTATTATTATTATTATTATTATTATTATTATTATTATTATTATTAGCAAAGTGTTATTATTTAAAACATATGATTTTACTTCTTCAGTCTATCTAATACTTGTATAATTTTATCGGTAAGACTAAGAAATCAGGCTCTGATACTAATTTAAACACAATGAAATACAAAAAGAGGTAAAACCATGTATATATAATGAATTCATGTTACAATTTAGGAACCAAAACAATCAAGGCACTAAATTCGTGATTCATACAATCACGGATTTTATACAATCTACTATAAATAAAATATTCTAATTTCCTATATTCAACAGTCCCTCTCAAGTTAATGTGAAGACATTCAACAAACGCAGCTTGGCAATGGATGACTGGAGCAACGTCGGACCTACAGCCTTTGTAAACATATCCGCCAACTGCTCGTAAAAAGAAACAAATGATGGACTCGCAATACCAGTTCGAACCTTTTCTCTAATAAAATGTATATCAACCTCAATGTGCTTGGTACGCTCATCAAGTACCGAATTAAAGGATAGCATAATAGCAGATTTTTGTCACAAAATAAGGAGAAATGAGCAGTCTCTTCAAATCCCAACTCTATCAAAATAAAGCGAAGCCATAAAATCTCACATGTTCCTTGTGCGATAACCTGATACTCAAGCTCTGCAAAGAATCTAGAAACAACTGCTTGCTTCTTACTTTCCATGATATAAGATGATCACCATAAAAAGTACAAAAGCTAGAGGTGGAACACCAATCAGTTCTAGATCCTGTATAATCAACATCTGTGAAACAAGAGATGCTAGATTGAGGACTAGATATGAAGAATAATCCCAACCCAAGAGAAGTCTTCTAATACCTCAAAATATAGCAAACATCATCAAGATGTTCTGAACGAGGTGTATGTATAAACTAACTCACAACACTAACCACAAATGCCAAATCAAGTCTAGTGTTAGTCAAATAAATGAGATAGCCAACAAGGCACTAATACATGTCAGGATCCTCCAATAACTCGCCAAACACTGATGTGAGTTTGATGTTTGGGTCCATAGGGTTTACACCCTTGCATACTAGTATCCCGTAGTAGATCAAAAGTGTACTTCCTCTGGGACAAGGAAATTCCCTATCATGCTATCTCAATCCCCAGAAAATATTTAAGACATCCTAGATCCTTAATATCAAAAGCTTGGCTCAAGTCATTCTTTACTTGACCATTACTGACAAAGTCATTGCATGTGAAAATAATATTATCCACATAAACCAATAAGATGATGCATTGACCCCTAGAATTATAGCGGATGAAACAAGTATGATCTGAGTGGCATTGAACAAATCCCATGGAGATGATGACAAAACTGAAGTGACCAAACCATGCTTATGGAGACTATTTCAGGCTATACAAGGACTTGCGTAAAACTTCTCTCGAATACTTCCCATTAGCCCGAAAACTGGGTGGAGAAGCCATGTAAATCGTCTCAAGAAGATCCCCATAAAAGAACGCATTCTTAACACCAAGATGATAAAGAAGCCAAGAATGTGATGCTGCAAGGAAGATGAGGAGACGCACAGAAGTAAGCTTGTCAACAGTGCAAAAGTAGCCCCAAAATCCTTACCAAGAATCTATATAAAACCTTTGGCCACCAGACGAGTTTTGTAACAATCAACTGAGCCATCAGCGAGGTACTTTATCATGAACACTCATTTGCACCCAACAATGCTTTCCCCATGAGGTAAAGGTACAAGACCCCAAGTGTGATTTTGTTCTAAGGCTGTCATCTTAGTCTGCATAGCCTTTACCCATTTTGGATTCTAAAGAGCCTCTGACAAAATACAAGGAATTGACTCTGACTCAAGCTTGCCAAGGAAATAGCAATAAGAACCGAAAACCCTGACATAGGAAAGATACTGGAAAATGAGATGATTAGTATTGCTCAAATAACCTCAACAGTCTGGAGGATGCCGATCCTGAGGTGGGTCACGATGAGGAGGTGAAGGAGATGTAGTTAAAGGAGAAAGATTACCTAACCTAGAGATCGGAGAGATGGTAGAGGGCAACTGAGAGCATGAACGACGAGAGTATACCTGCAATGGGGGGAAGGAAAGGAAGCACAGGTGGAGAATGAGGAAGGGAGACAACCTCATATACAACCTCGTTCAAAATAGGAACCGGGCAAACACTAGAAGTAATAGGAGTGAAAGCCTGCAAGGAGGGTTAGTACCTAAAAAATGAAGTTCCTAACAAAATGTAACATCCAAAGTGTGGTAAAAGTGACGAGACACAGGATAAAAACACCTATACCCTTTGGACATGGAAAAATACCTTAAGAAGACATAACGAATCGACTTATCATCTAACTTAGTGTGAGTGGAACTCCGATCTTGAGCAAAACAATACACACAAAGGATATGAAATAGAATAAGACCATGCAACACACGAATAGGTGTCCGATTAATAAAGTAGACATCAATAAGAACAACTATATGCTAATACGACTTTGGAACACCTATACCCCTAAGAATACACTGGACAACAAACATAATATAATAGTTTTTACGTTCAACAACACCAATTTGCTCAGGGATTCGAGGGCAAGTAAGTTATTGAAGAATATCGGTCTGATTAAGATGGGAGCGAAATTCATTGGAAATATATTCCCCACCATTATCAGAACGGATCATCCTAACAACTATATGAAACTAAGTTTTAATCATTTGCAGGAACTAAACAAAAATGGGAAACACGTCAGACTTACGGCAAAATAAATAAACCCAAGTGCACCTAATGTGATCATTAATAAAAATTACAGAATATGTAATTACATAATATGTATAACCACAAAAAGAAGTTACAGGAGAAAGACCATAAGCATCGGAATGTATAAGATCAAAAGCACTTGGGGTATGAGTCATATGAGGGATATAACTAGTACGAGTGTATTTAGATAACTCACAAAACCACACAATGAAAGTTAGAATCTTTGCAAGCTTTATTTATTAAAAGGAAAAGTTGACATAAATATTGAAAATTGACATGACCCATACATACATGTCATAATTCTAAAGTTTGAATAGAAAAAACACAAAATATGGAAACAAGCAAAACAGACACTTGAAAAGCTAAGGTAGAAGAAGAAGGTCTGTTTGGTAAATCCCCAAAGTAGTAAAGCCCACCATGCTCATAGCCCCTGTCAAAATCCTCTTCAAACTCAAGTCTTGTAACAGACAAGAAGAGGGTAAGAAGATAACAACACAATTAAATGTTTTGGTAAGCTGACTAACTAATAAGAGATTATATGCAAAATTGGGGGCATGTAAAACAAAAGATAGAGTAACATTAGGGGGATAAAGACACCACACCCTTGTGGCTGGGTAGGGAAGAAGGGTGTCGATAGATAGGAAGCAAGGGGCTAGGGTTTCTGGGCTCTGGCTCTAATACCAAAAAGAGTGAAAATAATGTTTTGGCTTACCATTAAATGAGGTAGAGCCATGCATATATATAATGATTTCACGTTACAATTTAGGAAACAAAACAATCAAAGCACTAAATTTGTGATTCCTACAATCACGGATTTTATACAATCTACTATAAGTAAAATATTCTAATTTCCTATAT